TTCCATGAACATACTGTACTTGCTAATGTAGCATGCCACAGATTTAGTCTTGTGATTTTCTGGTAATTGATAGTGGTCTACCTTTATGGAAAATCGAGAAATGGACCTTAAACAAATGGAGTAAGAAGTGTTTTCAAGGCAATGTAAGTAGGGGCTTCAATAATGTAGCCACTGCATCTCTTGCCTGCTCTGTGTTTTGCACACCTCCCACCTCCATCCCTAAACTTCAGCCACGGTGAACTTCTGCTTTCTTAAATGTGTTGTTCTCTTGCCTGTTTTTATCTCCCATTCTCAGCATTCTAGTCCTCTGAGTCAAATTCAGTGCCACTTTCTCTAGGAAGGTTGATTTCCATAAACGAGGTGTATGTCCTACCACATATACTTCTAATGTGCCCTGTATTTTCTTTAAATAATATTCTGATAATTGCTTTTTAAAATTGACTTTTAAAAATGGTTATAGTTATTCATCTGTAAACTCAAACTGCACACTGTCAGAGAGTATATGTACCTTATTGACCTTTGTGTCTGACACATACATAGTCACTCAGTAAAGGTTTCCTAAATTGATGACTAAAAGGGGAATGGGGGAGAGTTAGGCATGTTTATCAGTGGGCGTGAGGGAGAGACTGCAGGGAGATGCCTTAATTAGCAAAAATAAATAGTAGCTCCAAGAGGGAAGCTGCGTACTTGAAAGGGCAGGGACATGTGTGCCTGTTCCAGAAACATTTACTTTTACCTGGATCTGAACCTTTATAGACTGAAGGCCAGGCCTTCCTTCTGCTACTGGAGTTGAGCCAAGAGTCTTGAGGGATCTGAAAGGTCATTTTCTACATGGATGAACTCTGTACCCTGGGGCAGAGAGAAAATATAACCCTATTCTTTATGCTTTGCCCTTTAATTTCTTTGCTCTTTGGGGTTTCAGTAGCGCAGCCACTGGGCTTTTACAGCATCCAAAATGGCAGGCTGGCTCCTACAGTTCAGGAACACCGCCTGCAATAAACACCACGTTTAAAGCTAGAGTGAAGAAGGCAGTGGGAGCAAAAAGACAGGAGTGTGTACGAAAAAGTAGTATTTGTTGCTCTTTCATTGGCCAAAGAAAGGAAGATTTGCTTTTGCGAGCCTGGATGGTGACAGTTTATGAAAATATTTCCAGCAGTGAAAAAAAAATTATCAGGTAGTTTTAGTGTTCCTCAACTTAGAGTCAACTTATCTCCCTATACTTCTGTTGTTATATTATCATATTAATCCTATTATAAACGGAGAACTCAGAACTGAATATAAGTGGGAAGGCCAGATACTTCCTTGGTTATTATTTTCTATATCTCATTTATTTGTTCAGTGTCTTCCTGACAGACCTGCTGTTTGATGTCATGTTGAAACAGACACTCAGTGATTGAGCTGATTTTATGTGAAATTACTACATGACTGACAAAATTAAGCAAGTTAGTCTGCTGGCTTCGGCAGATTGGGTTGGGGTGGTGCTATGTGTATGTGCAGATCAATTCTGGAGCTGCATAAGGGTTGGATTGAACCCTTTCACTCTACAGATCGGGAGCTGAGATGTTAAGTGACTTTCCCGAGGTCATGCAGCATTTTAGCTTCAGGGCCAGACTATTGGTAATAGTTGCACTATTGTATACACTTGCTATAGGTAATAATTTTACCTGTTTTACAAATGAGGAAACTGAGGCACAGAAAAATAAGTTGCCCAACTTCACACAGCTAGCACATGTCAGAGCCAGGATGTGAACCAAGGTCTGGGTCTCAAGTCCTTGCTTTTAACCAGTGAGTTGTTTTCCTTCTCCCTCAGTCCAGTGTTCTCTGCCCATTACAGTGCTGTCACCTGCAGTAGCTGCCTCCCCAGTATGTGGCTTCTGCAGGTGTTTTCCATACATGCACATGGTACTAGCTCTCCGCCAGTATATCATGCTCTGGCTTCAGGGATGGCTCAGATTGAATGAATCTAGTCTGTAAGGAACCATGAAACAGGAAATGTATCTGCAGGCTTGTAATAAGTTGGAGTTACCTCCAAAGACAGCTACAACTTCTGCAAGGGTATAGTTTGGGTTATGCTGTAGTCTTTTATTTCCTTTCTCAACTATGGTTGAGAACTGATTTCTTTTTGAAGCTGGCTCAAAACCCACCAAATTAGTTGATGCTATAATGGCCAAAGGTATTTTGATGCTTATTAAATATCTATTTCTCTGGTATTGATCACAGAAGGTCATTTTTATTGTTATTTTTTTCAATGAGTTGTAGTATGCATGGTCTCTGACCTCCTGTGAAATAGCTAAAAGAAATGCCCGGGATCTGTAAGGCTAGATTCACCCCAAATGGATGTTTTATTTATTTATTTTAAAAAAATATTTTTATTGATTTCAGAGAGGAAGGGAGAGGGAGAGAGATAGAAACATCAATGATAAGAGAGAATCATTGATCGGCTGCCTCCTGCATACCCACTACTGGGGATCGAGCCAGCAACCTGAGTATGTGCCCTTGACCAGAAACGAACCTGGGACTCTTCAGTCCATAGGCCGATTCTCTATCCACTGAGCCAAACTGAGTAGGGCCCACAATGGATGTTTTAGATATGATCCATTGGAGTTTATAATCAAGGAGACCAAGCAGAACTTGAACACATCTTTTTACCTTTGCCACTTGTGGAATCTAGAGTTCAGAGGGTCCAGAGGGCTCATTCATTCAATAGAAAAGTACTAAGGTTTGGTGTCTCCAGAGCTTTCTTGAGGGGAAAAAATGGTTGTGCTTCTTGTCCATCAGGTTCTGTGAGATGCTAGTCTTTTAAAGACTTGTTTTAAAATTATGATAAAAATTTCTCTCAAACTTCAGAGCATCTTTTGATTAATCTCACATGCATTATTTCATTTCCAGACAGACCTAAAGAAATATCCCATTAGAGGCACAACAGAAGTGCTCTGCGGCTGCAAGTCTAGTCAGTCATGGGTTTGGGTAGGCTGTGGAGAAGCATTTGAAATGAGCCTGGAGGAGTGAGTGGATTTCCATATGCTGGAAAGGAGGAAGGACACATGAGGCGAGGGAGCAACAGCCTGAGCAAAGGGGCTGCATGGTGTACAGGGAAAGAGGCAGTGGAAGTGAGCTGGAGACTTAGTCACCCAGTGATAGGAACAGTGTGCTAGGAACAGTGAGGTGAGCCCCCTGCTAGGAGATGTGGCAGTATTCTGTAGGCCTAGGTTTATTTGAGTCTCCTAACCCATACTTTTTATTTTCTTAGTGATTTTTGCCTTTCAGTTTTGAGTTCTCTATTAGTGCAATGGGTTGTTTACTATGCAAAGTCCTCCAGGATTGAAGACAGATGTGGTTCAATTCCAGCTTTGTATCTATATAGCTTTGTGTCTTTGGGAAAGTCAGTCTTTCTGAGCCTCACTTTTTTCTCCCATTAAGTTTAGAGTGCTTTTCAGGCCTTATCCCGAGTATTAGGAGACATTTGTGAATGTGTGTGTGTGTGTGTGTGTGTGTGTGTGTGTGTGTGTGAGAGAGAGAGAGAGAGAGAGAGAGAGAGAGAGAGAGAGAGAGATTTAGTATAAAGCATTATCTGTAACTGTAAGGGGAAAGAGCAGGTAGTGGTGTCCTCATCCTATATAATAAAAGGATAATATGCAAACTGTCCCTAACAGTAGAATGACTGGGAATGACTGGTCACTATGACACACACTGACCACCAGGGGGCAGACGCTCAATGCAGGAGCTGCCCCCTGGTGGACAGTGCGCCCCCACGGGGGAGCTCTGCTCAGCCACAAGCCAGGCTGATGGCTGCCAGTACAGCGGTGGTGGTGGGAGCCTCTCCTGCCTCCTCAGCAGCGCTAAGGATGTCCAACTGCAGCTTAGGCTTGCTCCCTCCTGGCAAGTGGACATCCCCCAAGGGCTCCCGGGCTCCCAGAGGTATGTCTGATTGCCAGCTTAGGCCCGATCCCCTGGGCAGTGGGCCTAAGCCAGCAGGTGGTCATCCTCCGTGGGGTCCCAGACTGCGAGAGGGCACAGTCCGGGCTGAGGGGACCCCCCACCCGCCGAGTGCACAAATTTTTGTGCACCGGGCCTCTAGTCTATAATAATAAAAGCATAATATGCAAATTGACCAAACAGCAGAACAACCATCCGGAGGACCACGCTATGACACACACTGGCGCCAGGCCAGCCACACAGGTGTGATGCGATTGTTGGGGGAGGGGGGCTGCCATTGCCCCATGATCCCCTCACAGAGGGAGGTCCAGGCCACTGGCTGGCGGGGTGATCAATCAAGGGGGAAAGGGAGGGGTGGTGGTGGACACAGGCAGCGTCAGGCCAAGGCAGATGCAGGCAGGGGGTGGGGCCGGCTGCAGGCAGCTGGGGGAAGCCTGGGTCCTGGGTGCCAGCAGCCGGAGGGAAGCCCGGGTGCAGGTAGCCAGAGGAAAGCCAGATGCCTGCAGCTGGGGGAAGGAAGGCCTACCCTTGCATGAATTTCGTGCGTCAGGCCTCTAGTTCATAATAATGAGCTTTCCCAAACTTTGGCAAGTTCTAAATGTTATCAGTGGGAGTTATTTCTGTAAGTATTTTGGTTGCTGTGAAGTGACTAGCATGTGACAATGCTGTGATAAGGTGCAGAAACGTCATCTATTGGGGACTTGCAGCTGGTGGCATTGCAGCAAATTGTGGACTTTAGAATCCCATGGGGCAGGACCACAAAGCCAGGAGGACAGGACTTTTAACACCTCTGGTTGATAGAGGGGAGGGGAGAAGTCACACATTTGCTATTATAGCTACTTGACTTGTACTTTCTTCTTTTTATTTTAAGTGGTGGGGTAAGGATCTTTTAATAGGACTGATGCGATTGACTTAAAGTATGTTTAGGTTTTATTAGCTCTAATTCCAAGGATAGGAATTCAGATTGTGAAAGTAAGATTATCTAGGTGATTTGATTATAGTTGAAGGAGAAATTGGAAAATGAATTTTAAGAATGGCAGCAAAGTGAAATCTGTTTTCTACAGACCCCAAAGGAAGGAGCGTATCCTTCGAGTGGAAGTCCCAGATTGGTAGGTTTTTCTTTTTTTAGCTTCTTGGGTGATTTTCTAGCTATTGGCTTGGTTAGTGTTTTCTTTTCATTACCCTTTCTTCCTTCCCCACCCTCCTTTTCTTGCTGCTTTATAAGACCAGAGTGATATTACTTATACATTTCAGAAATAAAAATAAAGAATAAAGCTTAAATAACAATTTTATAGAGCTGATTGACTGGGTTGATTCATCACTTTTGAGTGCATTTATATGCTAGGATAGGAGTTAAGTGGTCATATAATTTGTAGAGTATCTAGTGCTCTTTAGGTTGGTCCACGTTTGTACATTCCCTCACCAGCCAATCCTTAATGAATTTCTGTGCCCTCCTTCTTCCTACTTTTGCTGCCCAGCTTCTGGCGGCCAGTGAATATATGGTATACCAATACTAATCCAACCCAGCAAAAATGTGGACCATAGAGAAATTTCTCCATAAAATTATTTATTGTGTTTTAAAATGTGTGGAACATCCATTAATATGAATAATTAGAAGATGGTTTAAGATCCAGTTGAAAGTAGTTCAGTACTTCATATTTTTAAAATTGAAACTGACCATTTTTTTCCCTTAGGGTGTGATGGGGCAGAATGTGGCACTTTAAAACCATTATTTTTCAATTAGAACTTTTCCTTAATATGTAACCAATCAGTGATAGAAAACTAATTATTTTTAAGTTTCAGATAATTGCATACGCAAAAAGAGAAACCAGAAAAATGTTTTGATAATTATAACAACTAATAATGAAGCATATATTGGGTTTTCATATGCTGATTGGGAATTTATTGCTTTTGAATTGACTTTTATTAATGATTGTATTACTGAATGGGCCTCTATAGAGGGATGCACTGGGAATAATGAGTTAAGCATTATACATAAACAGCCATTGTCATTGGTTTTCTTGTTATATACGAAGTATATATGAGTATTACTTGTGCTCTTTGTCTTTCTCTTTTTAATTGGTAAGGATTTTAGAGAGAAAAAGCAGAGGAGCTAGTCCAGGCAATTCTGACTTGTAACAATTTGACATTTCTTTTTTATAAATTTTCTTTGGAGGGATAGACTTGATCTCACTCTGTGGTATAGTAAATATTCTTCCTAAGTTTAAGTTTGTGATGTATTTCTTTATTGATAATGTTAACACCTCCCTTTAAATGAATTTCTATAAATTAGTTCATCTGAATTTGGAGAAGCAGGAAGGGATATCTTGGTCTGGATAAGCAAGTGTTTTTCTGGGTAAGATATGGGAGTGTCTAAATCCAGACTGCTCTGTCTCCAGCAGTGTGTGCAGAGTGTATCAGTCACCGTCATTAAAGGACATGGTCAATTTCAGACCGTCCACTCCTTAATTTACAAGGAGATAGTATGGAGTTGCCCCTTTGCTTTATTTCCTTTTGCTAGGGTGGAGAGTGATATGAGATTTTTAATGCCGCATCAAGGCAGGGAAGTAACATAGCCAGAGGCTGTTTCCATGGAGGATATAAACTCAGAATGTCCACTGACATTTTTAGAGCATTTCAGGAAAACAAGTTAGTCCATGCAAATGATTCATTCTCCCTTTCTTGCCCACTGAAATGGGATTCACGGATCCCAGTTTCCACGAAGAAGCTTCTGTGCAGATCATGAACCTGCACAAGATTTTGTGTCATTTTTTCTCTTTATTCCTAAACTTGACATCCAGTAACAATTGCTTTGCAAAGGAGTCATCTGAAATGTTTATGATGTGGTCGTACTGAAGCAGACTTGGTAATATTGCAGATATTACATTTTCATATGAGAGCTGGCCCAGAAAAGCTGCAATTTAGTGTCAAAAACCAAAACAAACCCAAAAGGCAAAAACATGACAAGCTGCATCAGTTGGCTCATGCCTCCAGAGGAGTATGAACCTCTGGAATGAAGAGTTCGCTTATTTACTGGAAATCTGTGCTTCTAAGGCAGTCTGTACTTTATTCACTGGTGCATTTGGTCAATTTCTGTGCCACTGCCTGCACGCTGGTGCCCTCTTCTGGAATCATGAATGCAGGGCTGAGCAAAATGGAGGTGCTGTAAAAGGGAGGCTGAGGAGACAGAACCTCTGGATGGCACTTCTTAAAATTCTTCGCTGGCAACGATTGAATTTTGGCCTCTGTGCTAAACAGAGAAATAGCTATTAGGAATTTTGACTATTAGGTATTGTTTATGGTTTTCTTTGAAAGGCTCTAAAATCACATATAAGAAAGATGAAGTCTCTTCTAGAGAAAATGTATTCTGTATGTGTCAAAAATGGGTTCATTGGGGCAATTTAAGTCAGTATTAATTTCTACTGGATGCTTACTAACACTTCTTTACAATATAAATAGCAGTTTCCATTAAATAAAATACTGTCAGATGTCATTATCTCACACAGTCATGCAAATAACCAAGCAATTTGAATCTTTTTTAAAAATATATTTCTTTATTGATTTCAGAGAGGAAGGGAGAAGGAGAGAGAGAAACATCAATGATGAGAGAGAATCATTGATTGGCTGCCTCCTGTACACCCCCTACTGGGGAACGAGCCCACAACCCAGGCATGTGCCCTTGGCCGGAATCGAACCTGGGACCTTTCAGTCCGCAGGCTGACGCTCTATCCACTGAGCCAAGCCGGCTAGGGGGCAATTTGAATCTTAATGATGTAGGGGTAGGACTAGGGATGAAAATGGATCTGGTGATGGGAGCTGACAGTACACTGAGCATTTACATGAAACTTCTCACTTAAACTTCACAATAGCATGGGTCTTGGTCTGTTATCTCCATTTCATAGATTAGAAAACAAGGCTCACAGAGAAGAATGAACTTAACCAAAGTCTCACAAGTGGTGACTGATGGAACCAATGTTTGAACCTTAGCGGTTCACTTGGATGGAACTTGCTTTTAGCAGCTTCTAAATTAATAATTGTTACTCATTGGCAAATTGAACACTTGCAAGTAGAATCCCATTAATAAATGATGGGAGACCTCCTAATTCTACTATAATGCAATCGTGTTCAAATGAATGCAGTACCGGTTATTTCTCTGTTAGCACATTTCAGGATTTCTTGGTCATATGGCACACTACAGCCTCTCACAGGGGATCCTACCCCCAATGTGGGGGGATGACTATTCCTGTACTGAGTTTCCACAGGGAGAGGATGGTTGCTGTGGCTACCAGACAGCTTGCCTGGACATCCTATGGACACCCTAAACTTCTCATGTCTTCGAACCAAACTCATGGCCTTTTCTCCTTCTGTCTCCTGTTCCTCTGCATATGGGCGCACACGCTGTTACACACCCCTCTCTTCCTCTCGTATTCATTATCTTGGTTGGGGCATCACATTCTGCCCAGCTTCTAAGTCAGAGGTAGCCTCTGCCCTCTCTGTGAACACCACTCAACACACATCCCAAATCACCCATTATGTTCTTTCATTTTACTTTCTAAATATCTTTCAGGGCAGGCTTTTTTTTTTATATATTTGCATGAACTCACTTTCAGTTTAGTTTCTTGTCTCTTGACCAGTCTGGTTTGAGAACTTTCCTAGGTGATTTCTTGGCCTTCAATTTTGTCTCCTTGCTCTTTTTCCTCCATGTTGTAAGCAAAAGTGATCTTCCCCAAATCCAAGTCCGATTCCTTACCTTTTCCCCAGGATAGGCCTAGAGTGGTTCCTCATGGCGTGCAGTGGTGACTCGAGTCCTGACATCATCTCAGAATCATCTTGGACCTTAAAAAGAAAAGTGCTGAGGACACTTCAGGCCAGCGGAGTGGGAATTCCCTGGAGTGGGGCCCTGGCACATGTCATGCCTGGAATGTTCACATACCCTCCTATCAGGCTGTCTACTTGGATATCTAATAGTCATCTCAAAGTTAACATGTTTAAATGGAACTTCTTTCTCTCAAAACTTGTGCCAACTTTGACCTTGCCCATCTAAGTTGATGGCAACTGTGCCTTTCAATTTCTTCAGACGTCCCATGACCACTTTATATATAAAAAGTCACTCATCCCAAAACTGGGAGTTCTGATCTCTTCTTTCTTTGCTCTTTTTTTTTTTCCCCATAGTAATTGTCACCTTAGTACAGGGGTGGGGGACCTTTTTTTGCCAAGAGCCATTTGGATATTTATAACATCATTAATGGGCCTTATAAAATTATCAACTTAAAAATTACCCTGCTATATTTGGTCACACATTTAATTAACTCACCTCTAATGCGTTGGCAGGGCCAGCCCAAATGATTTCACAGGCCTTATACGGCCTCTGGGCCGGAAGTTCCCACCCCTGTTCAAGCATATTATATGCTCATTGATTATGTCTGTAGTTTATTTTTAGCTCCCCTCAATAGAAGGGTGTTTTTGTTTTGTCTTTTTGTCCTTTTGTTTTGTTTACTGAAGTATTCTAAACACCTAAAGCATTGCTTGGCACATGCTAGGGAATTTGTTAGTATTTGTTGAATCATACCAGAGAATGACTAGCAATAGGAAAATGGAATATAGTAGAGGGTTTAAAGGACTTGAGAACTGGAGTCCCATTGCCCATGTCCAGCCCTGTGCCTCAGCTTCCATCTGTAAAATGGGTCTACCATTTCGTAAGGTTGAGGATCAAATGAGACAATCCCTAGGAAACACTTGTCTGGTGGCTGGCACATGGTTACTTATGTTAGATGCTGTCAGGTGAATGCTAGTACTGAAGGTGTTGTAGTTGTTCTGAATCATTTCTCATTGATGTTTCCTTCAACATTGGATTATGTACATCTCTGCAATGCCAAAGGAATGAACACCATAGATAATGATAGCCAATAAGATTTTCTTTCTTAGTGACAATTTATGCTTCAAGATTTTAAGTGTATCTTTCATATGATGTTACTTAGACCTCTTCTTGACTTTCATTCCGGCCACAAAAGCTGTGCATTTGACCTAGCTTTCACGAGTCTGTTGGTCCCAGACTCTGTGTCTGTATCTTCTGCCTGAAGAATGACAACAGGGTCATATTGCTCTCTCT